GGGCCACACCCCCAAGGAGACTCCCTTTCATCTGATTGGCTACTCACAGTATATTAAGTCATGGGAGTGATTACATTAAAACACGGAGAATCATGGCCCAACCAAGTTTACACACAATCTTAACCATCACAGCAAGCAAGGTGGTGTCATCTGAATATCACAGGTTGTTAATAAGTCTTCCTCCAATCTTGATGCTGCGTTCTTCTTCATATAGTCCAGTTTCTCAGACTATTTGCTCAGCATACAGATCAAATAAGTATGGTGAAAGGATACAACCCTTAGGCACGTCTTTCCTGTTTTTAAACCACATGGTTTCCCCTTCCAATGACTGCTTCTTGGTCTATGTACAGGTTCTGCATGAGCACAATTAAGTGTTCTGGAGTTCCCATTCTTCAAAATATTATCTGTAATTTGTTATGATCCACACAGTTGAATGCCTTTGCATGTCAGTAAAACACAGGTAAACATCTTTCTGGTATTCTCTGCTTTCAGACATGATCCATCTGACATCAGCAATGATATTCCACATTCCAGATCCTCTTCTGAATCCAGCTTGAACCTCTGGCAGTCCCCCGTCAATGTACTGCTGCAACAATTTTTTAAATTATTTTCAGCAAAAGTTTACTTATGTATGATATTAATGATATTGTTCGATAATTTCTTCATTCTGTTGGATCACCTTTCTTTGGAATGTCACAAACATGGATTTCTTCCAATCAGATGGCCAGGTAGCTGTCTTCCAAATTTCTTGGCATAGATAATTGAGTGCTTCCAGCACTGCATCTGTTTGTTGAAACATCTCATTTGGTATTCTGTCAATTCCTGGAGCCTTGTTTTTCACCAATGCCTTCAGTGCAGCTTGGACTTCTTTCTTCAGTACCATTGGTTCTTGATCATATGCTACCTCCTGAAATGGTTGAACATCGACAATTCTTTTTGGATAAAGAAGTAGGATGTAGATGTAGGATATATCCACATACCTGTACAGATGTCATCAGTATTTGTCTCCTGTGGAACTCCTTTCTCAACCAGCCCAAGTCAGGTGTGTGAGAAGAGGTTTTTCTTTTTGTGATATAAAAAGGAAGATAGTTCAACCAATGAACAGTGAACTTTCTTGGTTGTAGTAGCCTAAACACCTCATCCAATGCACAAATCTCCTCTACAACACCTTTACAGAGGAATATTGAGCTCATGACTTATCCAGGGAGTCTTTCATTTTGGGGAAGTGTTAAAACATTATTTCCTGGTTTTCCTAGAATTCCAGTTACATGAGAGGTTACTAGTGTCGTGTTTATAAAACAGAAATACTAGTCATACATCATTTAAAAATTATTTTAAATTTAGATATATAAGAAAAATACTCATCACATGTGTATGGTTATTACTGTTGTTGATGTTTCTCTAGGCCTTGGAGTGATAACCGAAGCCTTCTAGGAAGTCACTTGACAGAACACTTGATGCCTGAACTCAGGGATCCAGCTGCTGCCCACTGACTGGCCCAATGCCTGTCCAGTGGAGCATCAAAAAGAACAGCGGGTAAAGTGACCCTTCTCTTCTTCTTTTAAGAGATGAAGGAATCATTGCCTCTACATCTACCCTGAAGTCTCATAACACTAGTGTTTATTCCAGAAAAAGTGAGATGACAATTCCACCTGCGTTATACTTCATGGCCTCAACTTTCAACAGAGATGGAAAGGTCAGTTTTCATATTTAACAGTGGCTCTCATATCCGTGAAACATTACACTGGTAACATTACATTTGCTCATTAACACATCATTTACTGAGCACCTTCCATGAGCCAGATACAGTGAGAGGGGCTGGGAATACAATTTTTAAAAAGAAAACCTTTATGAATGTTTATTGTTAGACTAATAGCTAACTTTTACTGATGGCCACATTCCAGACTTTAGTCTCAGCATTACTCATGGATTGCCTCACTTAATCCCCTCATCCACCTTGTAAGGTTGGTACTATTCTCATCCCTCTTTTACAGATAAAGAAACTGAAGTCAAGTAATTTACTCAAGGTCACACAAATGGTGGAGCTGCACTCTGAAGCTAGAGCCTGAATTCTTAAAGATTACCATGTTCTTAAGAATTACACAGTCTAAAGAAGTTTGATCTCTAGTGTATTAAGAGTTCCTGAATTATTGTATATATTATAGTAACTTTCTGCAATAATGGAAATACTGTATTCTTTGCTGTCCAAAAGGATAGTCACTAGTCATATGTGGCACTTCAGCACTTGAACTGTGGCAAAAGAAGTGAAGAACTACATTTTAAATAGGACTACATTTTTAATTGCTTTTAAATAGCCACACGTGGCTAGGGGGTGCTGTGTTGGATAGTACAGATCTAGTGGATAAGGAAATGGTTTTAGTTCTTCTGATTCCTCTGTAAAGACAAGGCTTAGGCAAATCAATAATTGCTCAGTGAATGAAAAAGAATGAGTGAAGAATTTTTAAGAAGGAAGTGTTTCTCCTCTAAACTGGGGAGTAGAATTCTTTATTATACTAGGACTTTCACTGTAATAAGATGTTTTAATAAGCATATTATATGAAATGCAGTCCTAGAAGTGTTCATGAAGATAGTAAAGAGGACCCTTAAATTATTTGCAATGTTTTTGAAAGGCTGACAAACATTTTATAATTAATGGTCACTGCTTTTAAAATATACTCATTTGTATTCTTTTGTCAATAAAAAAAGAATACTACTTGTTTCTTGACAGAACATAGGGTCCACAGAGAGAGAAACAAAAGGGAGTTACTGTTGGAAAAAGGACAGCAAATAGTGAAGAATTGCAACTGAATGGACATTTCCTACAGAAAACTACCATTCTAAACCAGACCTCTTTATGCATTGTTAAATAGTAAACAATAGCCTGGTTTTCTTTATAAGTGATTTCATCCTATCATTTACATATCTGTACATATATATATTCCTATAATTGACGTATTCTGAATTTGGGGCAAAATACAATTAATAATAATAGATACCTCAAAGTCATACCTTGCCACTCTTGAAAGGAGCCGTCATCAATAGTTTCTCATTTATTCTCATCCAAGTGAGATGGGTGGTTCGGCCTCCAAGTTGCTTGAAAGAACTCATCTCAAAAAGTCTTAGCTTTTTTTAATAACAATTTTTACCTCTATAGAACATGTCTTTTCTATTGTCCAATTTGTACTAACTTTAGATTTCAGAATCATAAAAGCACTCATCAAAGAAGTGTGAGGGCAGCTCAGTCTCTCCGGAAATTGCCAACCATGTTTTTTTGATACAATGAAATCTGCTCTTTAGATTTTAAGAATCTAATTTCCCCTTGAAAATAATCTACGAATAACACAGTGCCTAAAGAAAAGTCTCTAATTCTTCACAACTCAAGCCAAAAAAATCTAAAACCAAGTCCAATTTAAAATATGCTCAGCTCAGAATTGGGAGATTATTCCATATTTTGCAGGACAGTGTAGCATGACCACCTGCAACCGAAATCCTAAAGCCATCACTGTTAAATGCTTTGCTCCATCTTCCACGAGAGGCTGCTAAAGCACAAACAGTGTCAAAGCCCACAGCAGGCCGCTATCTACTGTCCAGTGTATGACCTCTGACACACCAGAGTCATCAGACCAGCTGCAGGTTCTGCCTTGAGATTTTTCAGTGTGTAAGGGTGAACCCTATGCTCAGATTCTCCTAGTCATCTTGCAGTTCTTGTCATGGGACCATAGAGGGAACAGCACCAGGTAGAGATGGGTCCCGCTGCTGTTGCAAACCCCTCCCAACCAAGGTTCTATCTGATCTCTGCCAAGAGTCTGTCTGGAGGGCCCAGTTGTTACATCCTACTGCTGTAATGATTGCAATTTGGCAGCATCTAGGATGCAGTACCGGGGACTGGAGCGGGAGGGGGAGGAGATGGTGGGCCCCTTTGCTAAATCCAACGCCGGAAGGGAACTACTGCCAGATGGATGAATTTACTGTGGCCAGTAGTCCGAGCTGGAAGGTAACTCAAGGGGCTTTAAAGCTCAAGGAGGCGCTGTATAACTCCCGCTCTGCTCTCAAAGCCGTGCCTCCCAAGAAGAGTAGGGATCAAGGCGGGCCAGCGGTAGGGGACGCGGACCGGGGCTAGGTAAAGTCGACCCTCCCTAGCTCCACAGCCCGGCGTCCGGCCGAGGAGGAAGCTGCGCGCGGGCGCTCGGCAGGCGTCACAATGGGCCAAGGCCTGCAGAGGCCGCGCGCGCAGTTCTCTGGGGCGGAGCCGTTGGGCTTGGGCTGCTGGGGCTAAGCAGGGGCGACTGAGGCACCAGTAGCAGAGGGTGGAGGGGGTGACCAGCCTCCCAGCTCGGAAGTTGCTGGGGCTGGGAGGATGCTGCAGCTGCAGTCCGAGCCGCCGAGGCTGGTGCGGGAGCTCCCCGACACCCGCCGCTGCGTAGGGGCACAGAGCGCGCCGCCGGCCGGGCGGAGCTAGAGGCGGGCGTCTGTACCGCGTCGCGCCACCCGCAGTTCCCCGCCTGCGGCGCGGTCAGTGAGTCTACCACTGCCGGTGCCCTGACTGCGGACGCAGCTGCAAGGGCAGCGCGGCGCCGCGCGTGGGGAGAGGCCTGAGGAATCTCGGAGGCTGCTGCGTCAACCAGCTCGGGGCGCGGGGCCCCGAGTGCGCGCGCCTTGGCGCGCCTTCCTCCTCCCCTTTTTCCTCGTCGCTGCACGGTCCTCCCCCAGCCCCTCCTTCCACCCACCAGAGGGGATGCGCTCCCCCGCACCGAGCAGCAGAGGCCACCGCTCCCAGAAATGTATGCGTCCGATCCCCTTCTCTCGACCCCGAGGAGCTGGCGACCCCGCCCAGTAGGTAGGTGGGTGAGGCAGGGACCTTCCCTCGCCGCCGCCAGCAGGCTGATGCTGCCTTTGCAGAGAGGCCGGGGGGGCAGGGGCCAGGACCGGTCAAACTTGCCTCCCGCCAGGGTTTGGTGGAGCGCTCGGAGGTGTGCTAATGGCGCTGGGCGCGCTTCGTGAGCCCCCTGTTAACCTGAAAACCTCTTCTGGAGCTCGGGAGGCCGAGCGGTGGTGAAGGAGAGCTTGACCCTTCCCCGCCCACCCCCTGGGGGCCAGTGAGGTACGAGCTGCGGGCTGGGAGTGGGAGGACAGGATGGCTTGTGTTTTATTTGGGGGAGGGGGCGTGGGATTTTCAGCAGCTCAGGTAGAAATATATCACCGTATTTGTTTGGCTGGATTAGCAGATGCGTTCGTTCTTCCTGTCTTGTTAGCCAACCCATGCAGCCGCTCACAGCGTTATTTTAACGGCATGTAGAAGTCGCTGTGGATTTTTGTGTTATTTCAAAGCTGGCTGGATGATTTATGTAAAATCAATAGCTCAGTCCCTGACAGTATTTTAGAGTTCGTTAGACAAGGTCCTTCTAGAAGTCAGATTATTCAGAAGATAGATGAGGCTGGAGTGCTCTTGTGCTGCCCACTTAGGAACCTTTTGGTTACGTGAAGGGTTGCATTTAGTGGCAAGTTTGATACAGGTGTCGGGAGTTGAGAATCTGCTGGAAGGATGCGCCGGGCCAGCCAGCAGTCGGCAGTCTTGTGCTCAGCCTAACTTCCAATTCGGTGTCAAGGTTTGTATTTTTTGAGAAACTGGTCATGCATTTTTTTTTCTTCCCCAGTTTTACAGTTCATACATCAGAGCTTCTGACAAGATTATTTTTTCCAAGGCTATAATTTTTTGTCTTATATTAAACAGCAAAGTTTAGAGTTTTGGAAAATGGATCATTTGTAAGCTACAATTTTACATTAATGTGTTAAGGTTTACAGTTTTGGAAAATGAATTGTAAACTCCAAGAGGTTAGAGCCTTCCTTTTGTTCAATCCTGTAATCCTCTGAGTCTGATGCATAAGTAGGTGCTTTTTAGTGATTTTTTGAATGAATGAATGGTGTTTTAAGCTTTATCTACAGATGACAATTTAGAATTAATTTTTTTTTCTATTTTGTGGCCGTTGAAGTTTCACTGGATTTACAAAATTACTTTTTTGTGTGTGAAAAGGCAAATTCGGTTATCTTAACATTTAAATTTGAATTTTTACATTTTTAGGAACGTGTGCTGTTCTTCTGTAATGTGTTATTGAATGAGGTAATTCTCTCCAACTCCTGATATAAATTAATTTCATGTCTGAGCTTGCATATTTTCCAGGCTTATTGGTAATCAATCCTATTTCAATTAAGCTCTCAAACACAATAAAGCGCCATTTGTTTTAAGGGAAATTCTAAGTTACTCCAGAGATAGCAGTGATATGGTTAATAGTGACGTTTTAACTTGCTTTAGAGTTGAGTTGTGGTTTGATTTAATTACAGTGTATTTTATTACAAGGAAAGGCAAAAATAAAACATTTAGAAGTGCTTGTGAGTTCTGAATGATTCAAAATATATGGTATAGATAAAATTTTAATTGTATGAGTTCTCCTCAGTATATAAGCTTATCAGTTTCCAAGTCTGACAGCCAGGGTGGTGGTAAAGTGAGGGGCTTGGAAGATAATACCTTTCAATTTTAAAATTTTATGGTTTCTTGAAAAAAAATCAAGGATAACTGCATCACGTTTCATTTTGCTTTATTTTTGCATTATTATTCCGTTGTGTTTTTGTTTCCTGTCATATAAATTTTATGAGTCAGTATTTCTTTTTAATGTCTTTGTTTAACAAAATTATCTGCTAGTGGTCCAGTGATTTTCTTCTCTTTTTTGATCATTTTAATACCTCTTCGCCATCCTTACTACATTTTGTACATCAAATCAAACCAAACCCATTGCCTCTGAGTCAATTCTGACTCATAGTGACCCTGTAGGACAGAGTAGAACTGCCCTATAGGGTTCCCAAGGCTATAAATCTTTTCTGAAGCAGACTGCCGCATCTTTCTCCCGAGGAGTGGCTAGTGGCTTACAACCACCAACCTTTCAATTAGCAGCAGAACACTTAGCCGTTGCGCCACCAGGGCTCCTTTTATTACCCATGAGAGTTACTATTTTCACAAAACTGTGATAAGGCATAGTTTATTACTGTTGTTTCTGCAACTGTGTTGGGTTTTCCTAGGTGGGGAGGAAGTAACACCTTTATATAAAAGGTAATGAAGATTGAAGGAACTAACAATATGAGGAAATTTATGGGGAGAGGGGGACCTAATTTTTTATGATTAAGTAAAAGCAAAAATTCCTCATGAAATAAAGATAGTTGCATTTTTTTGTTAGGTGCAGTTGAGTTTTTAACTCATAGTGACCCCATGCGACAGAATAGAACTGCTCCATAGGTTTTTTTTTCAATAGAAGCAGATTGCCAGGTCTTTCTCCCTTGGAGCTGCTGGATAGGTTCAAACAACCATCCTGCTGGTTAGTAGCAGAGCGTTGGTGCCACCAGGGCTTACACCTCTTAAATTTGTAATTAAAGGTATTAAGCAATTACATCGCTCTTCCTTGCTCGCTTAACGCTTTTCAGGAGAGCCCGCCCCTATAGTTGCGGTAATTTATTTTGGCTTTGTTGCGGGTAATAAACACTAATTTGTTCATTTGACAAACAGGAGTTGAGCACTTACAATGTGCTGGCACTCTTGGCCATGGAATCACAAATAGGAGCTGGTTTCTAATCTCAGAATGGAAGAGGCATTTTTCTTATGTGTGTCCTGCATCCAAATGTACAATGCTTCATTGATTGGTTGACTCACTTCCCGGGTCCTGCCTTCTGAGCCCTCAACTCCCCGCTTCCATAAGAACACTGGAATGCAATTCTAAGACCTAGATTTAGCCTATCTTATCTTTCTGTGTTTTTCCCAAGATTTTCTTGTACAAACCTCTCCTTTCCTTGCTAAATGTCATTTGCCGTCCTTTGCTAATCCTAACCCGTAATTTTCTTTTTTTTTTCTGTTTATGTCCAGCAGAATCCACACAATTCACATAAGCTGGAACCAAAGTTATAAATTTGTATATCCTTGCATTTCGAATATAGAGAGCTGGTGGTTGAAAAATAATTGTGTACTAATCTCTCTTCCGAGTGCCATTGTTTTTGCACTTGCCAGAGAATATGAATTGTCTGCTCAAAGATTTTATCAGAAGCTCAATTGAAATGTTTCCAGAGGCCTTGATGTCCACCCATTCCCTTCCAATACTAGGTGTTAGACCAGGAGTCTATCCAGATCCTCAGAAACTTACGTACTCGGGTTCCTTTGTTTGCATCTTTGACACTCCTCCCCCCAAATTGTGTTCATTCTGAGGGATTGTATTAATAAAGACAATCACTAGAAACATGTTACATTACTTTAAGGATATAGTTAAGACAATGGTCTTTTCTACTGCTGCTATTTGAAGACCCATGCAAGAAATTCCATTCAGCTCTAAATGCCAAAAAAAACTTTCGTACTGATTATATTTCCTTTTCTGCTTTTGACAACTAGAAAACACAGAGTAAAATTTGCAACTTAATTTTAATAACCATATAAAAACCTATGATCTAATATCAGATGTACTGTGTCCCTGGTCGAGAGCTTCTGTTCTGTTTTTTCTTAATTGTGATTTGGATGTACTTATAGTTACTCATTTTATTGTATTTATTGTTTTAAGCTGGATCATATCCTTTGTGGAATGAAGCAAAATATAAAACAAAAAACAATAAATAAAAGCATTACAGAATTGATCTCTGGGCACATGCCAAGTTTTTGATTGTCAAGAAATTTAATTGGTTACAATAAATATGTTTTGAACAAGTATTGCAAGTATAGGATATTTGAGTTTATATAGCCAGATGGGGAACAATGATACATAGTTTTGCAAAATTAAATTCTACTTATCTTTTAACTGTCAAGTTTATGTGCACTTATCACTAATTTGAAGATGGTAAAGCCATTCAATTTAATTTAAATTAATAGTTATTTCTGGTGTACTTACATAGGATATTGGGGTGAACAGGAGATTCTGTATGAAAATTTGTCAAAAAAGTGAGGATAGCACATGACCGGGCTGCGTTTTCTTCTGTTCTACATAGGGTTGCTATGAGTTGAAACCGACTCAGTGGCACCTAACAACAAGCCAAAGGACTAGCCAAAACTAGCTTTACACTCATCCTGGACTGCAGATATGACTGTAGATTTATCTGATTCATATTTGTTTTGCTAATCAGATATAGATTCTTCTGTGAGTCTATTCTGTTTATCATTACGTTTAAAAGCTTGAACTTCCTCAGTTAATTCACCAGACTCTCTTTATTCTGGTATCCTCACAACTAACTGTTAAGTTGGTTGAATTTAGCCAGGTAAATAGTTATTTACATCTGCATGATGCCAAATTAAGTCTGATTGGTTTATCATCTAGATCCTTCTGAAGGGTCAGTTATTGGTGCAATGCAGGAGCATTTGGGGCAAAAATGATCGGAATTCAAAAGCATAACTTTTTTCGGAAGGCATTTGGAAGGAAACATGGGCATGCTTTTTCGTAGAGGCATCTCGCTCTGATAACTTCCAAATTTTTATTATTTTTAAATTTTATGTTTAGAATAGGCAGTACCCTCACCTGATTCAAAAGGTATGTCAGTATCAGTGAAAGAACTACCTCTCCTCCTTGTTCCTCAGTCACCTGCTTCCCCTATCCGTAGGCAACCAGTGCTGGTCAGTTTCTTGAGAATCCCACAGTGATATTTTATGCATATCCAAGCAAATATGAATATGCAGTCTGCTCAGTTTTATCTCCTAACCATTTCTGTAATTCACTCGTCTGCCATTGGCCTTGAGTGTCTCTTTGATGCTATGGGCTGTTACCTGAATTTTGCTTTCCTCTGATCAGCCCTCCACATGTCAGTCAGTTTTACTCCTCAGCT